AAACAAAAACAAAACAAAACACCTGAATATTGCCTAAGAGATTTGTAGCATGACTTGTTTGGAGTTAGACAGATTCAAGATAAAATATGCCCTGCTTATGAAGGGGTTTTGGGGTGATGGGAGTGTTCTGAACTGGATTGAGGTGATGGGCCCATAAGTGTATATATACTAAAATTTATCAAAGTTCTTTCTCTCTCTCTTTAATTTTTTTAGTTGTAGTTGGACACAATACCTTTATTTTATTTATTTAGTTTTATGTGGTGCTGAGGATCAAATTCAGTGTCTGTCACATGCTAGGCGAGTGAGAGCTCTACCGCTGAACTACACCCCCTGCCCCACAAAGTCTCTTAAATAAAATTTACTCAATGTAAAGTATGCCTCAATAAAACTATTAAAAAGCGATTTTACTCTTAACACCAGTTGGTAATTTTAGGCAAGTCATTAACCTCTGAGCTTCAGTTGACTCATTTGGATAAATGAATAGAGTAATGCCTTTTTTCCTGAGATTGCTGAGGTAAGGATAAAAATAGTATGGGGAGCTAGGGATGTAGCTCAGTGAGTGTACGGTACGGTGCTTGCCTTGCGTTGTGTCCCCAGAACTGGAAAACAAAGTAGTAGGTGACGAATCAATAATAGATACTCAATTAATAGCGGCTACAATTAACCAAATATCATGAATTTGTTGCCACCATTGATGCAGTAAATTTACAGTATCTCTGATGCAGTAAATTTACAGTGTCTCTATTGGTAGTTCTAGAATGATTTACATCTTCTCCAACTTCCCTCTGCTTGCTCCTTTATTAATCTGAATGTATGGTTAAGTGCTTTGTCCTTCAAAATTTCTGCATCCTTTTCAAACTTAGATCATCCTCTTCCTTTTTAAAAAATTTCTTCTTTAGGGCTAGGGATATATAGCTCAGTTGGTAGAGTGCTTGGCTAGAATGCACAAGGCCTTTGGTTCAGTCCCCAGCACCAAATAAACAACAACAAAAATTTCTTTTCCCCATACTATTTGAAAGAAATCTATTCTCAGATTTTCGCTGTCAGCACTATACCAAATCTACTCTTTTGAAGTCATTAGTGCTAGATCTTTAGTTATTGCATTTTGGTCTTAATTCTGTAACATTTGAAATTTAATGTTTTAGATTTAACATTCAAATTTGAAGTTTAATGTTTAAATTCTTTTGACTTCTAGAACTTTGAATTTTAATGTAATCTCATACTTCTGACCATTCCCTTCACTTCATTATATTCTCAAATGTTGTAAATGTCCTTATTTCTTAGCTCTCTCCTCTTGAACTTTGTAATCCATTGTATTAGAAAACAAAGAATTTATTTACAACATAATTTCTTCCTATTCTTTCTTCTAGTCCAGATTAATTTTTCCTAAAGTCCTTTCTTATTACATTACTCATTTGGAAGAAGTTGAGGGATTTGTGTTGGCAAGTAAAACAAAATACATACAGCCTGAACTTTAAAACCATTAAAAAGAAGAAATTCTAGCTGGGTGTGCACGTCTATAATCCCAGCAGCTCAGGAGGCTGAGGCAGGAAGATCTCAAGTTCAAAGCCAGACTCAGCAAAAAGGGATCAGCAACAGAGTGAGACCCTGTCTTTGTAATTAAAAAATACAAAAAAGGACTGGGGATGTTGCTCAGTGGCCAAGTGCCCCTGAGTTCAATCCCTGGTACAAAAAAAAAAAAGAAATCTGGGCTGGTAACAAAGTTTAGTGGAAGAGTGCTTGCCTATCATTTGCAAGGCTCTGTATTCAATCAATAGCACCAAAAGAAAAAAAAGAGAACTCTGTTAGGAAGTGTGTTGGGGGTGGGGGGAGGTAGGTAGGCCCATTTTGGAGAGATAATCATGTAAATGAATGAAAGAGTATGAACAACAAAATGGGCCTGGGAATATGACTCTGGTGTGGAGTGCTTGCCTAGCATGCAGGAGGCCCTTGGCTCAATCCCTGACACTGCAAAAAAGCAACAAAAACCCCCAAACAATGAAGTATAACAAGCAGTATGCATAAATGAGCAATTATATCCACATAAAAAGGACAGTTCTTGATATTTTGGTTATAAAAATAAAACACTTTTAAAAATTCTGAAGTAGTAAAAGGAGTATATAACAGAAAATGTAAGTTCTCGCATAATCCCATTCTTCTTGAGACCTGTATTTAAGATTTTAAATATATTCTTTGGTGTTTTTCCATGTTCATTGTACTAATATTTTTCATATATACTGTCAACTATCAACATTTGATAACATATGACATGGTTTTTGCATTCTTGTAATCATTGCCTTCCCTTCATGTTACAAACATTTTCAACTGATGGTTTAATTTTAAAATGACCACTATGTTAGAGTAGCTCTCAAGTTTCAATTCTATTTGATTAGGAGATAATGTGGTTTAGTGAAAGAACGTGGACTTTAGGTACAAATTTGAGTTTGCCACTTGAGAGCTGTGTACCCTAGGAGATTTACTTTATTATAGAGAATAATTTATTCACTTGCATAATTGGATGATAATAATAATAATAATAATAATATAATTAGCACTTACAACATGTATTTCAAGGTAGTTGTAATGAGACTGGTATCAAGCATATCTTTTATAAATGGTAGTTGTTATTTGTCATGAAACTCTTGAAAAGTAAAACTCAAGGCATGAAGAAATTGAATAAAAGGGGTAAGTGAAAAATGACTTAACTGTCTGCTTCAAGTTCATTTTAAAGAGCTTTAAGTATTTACTGGATAATTAAACAAACTGCATTGAATTGTAAATAATAAGTAGGATTGTTTCTATACTGAAATTTGTTTATTAAAGGAAAAATTATTTTCTTTGGTTTAGTTTATATTCTTCTGTTTGTATTTCTTTGATTTTTAAAAGCAGTGAAATATCTGAAGAATGTGACTTGAGGAACAAATGCTGGCAAAAACTGTTTTAGTCTTATGAATCAGAGGCAATAGATTTTTACATAATAATCATCTGTATTGGAGAAGTAATTTGTGTTGAAGAAATAGATTTTTAGTATATAAAAGCCTAGCCTTTTTGAATCTGTGATCTCATTTGCTTATTGATGCAAGTATTGTTGTTTCCTTAGGTTAGATGAGGTCTTAATCATGGAACATTCGAAGTCACATAAAGAAGGTAAAGTTTTTTTTTTTTTTTTTTAAGCCCTCAACACCATCATGTTTAATTAAACATCAGGGAAAATTGTAATAAAAAAACAGAATATGGATTTGTAATACCAAATGATCTTAGGAATAAATAAATGTTTTGATGGTTTATTTCCAAATTAACAAGTTGAAATTACTTGTAGTTTGTAAACTATGTTTGGAGAGTTCAATGTGGATTTAATGTGTTGGATTGAGGGGAACAAATGGACAGGGTATAATAATAACCTTTTACCATGGATTAAGGTCATGTTACTAACTGCAATTATGTAGATTAATAGAGAAATAATAAAAAATCATGGCCAAAGACATAGGATACAGATATTTTTAATTTAGCTTATCTTTTAAGGAAATTATTCTAATTTCCTCTTTTATAATGGGAAAACTGAGGCTCTGGGGTGAAGTGCTTACCTTATAGCCAAGAGGAAGGAAAAGAGAGTTCAGTATGACTAAGGGAGGACTTAACTTTAAACCAAAACAACAACAATAAACTCTGAAAAACAAAGAACAATAAAAACTCTACCTTAAATGGTTGTTATCTCTTTTATGGAAAAAATAGTAATTTAGTAAATATTGGCTAAACACTACATTAGTGCCCTAATGAGGGCAATGAGAATACAGGCCTTTGTCTTTATGGAGCATGCTATCTAATGGGGAATACAGATTACAAATAAGTAAGTATATTACAAGTTAGGTTAAGTGCAGCTGAGGAAATGTGTATGATAATGTAAGAGTGTAATGAGGAGATCAGATTTTATCAGTGATGTGTAGATGGAGTATTTGACACAGATATTTGAGAATGACATTTAAGCTGAGACTTAGAGAAATGAGGAAAGGAGCCTTTCAGACAGAAGAAGTTTAAAGGTCCTGATAATGGGAGGAACTTGGATCCATCAACAATTCAAAAGAAAGAATAGTTTAGCTAAGCTTAATAAAAACAAGGTGAGGAAGAAGAGTGCTGAAAGTGAGCCTGGATTGTAGGTGGGGATCAAATAGAAATCTTAACACTTGGAGAAGAATTATAGGTTTTCTCCTACATACACTGTAAAGCCATGTAGAAAGTGAATGATGTAGTCTAGTATAATTAAAAAAAAAAAGTCTTTTAGATAGTCTGGGGAATATAGAAGGTAATGTCAGTAATCCAGCAGAAAAATGATGGCTCTCCAATGAAAAGAGGTATTAGTAGGAGATGGGTAAAAGTGGATAGTTTCGAGATTTATTTTGGAGGTCAGATAGTACTTGGTGTTGGTGGGCTGAAGTTGAAGAAAGGAGAGGAAATTAAGAATGATCTTCAGATTTTTGGTATGGGGAGCTAGACATATAATTTTCTGAAATGTCAAAAAATGGTATAGGTGAAGATACAGGGGAAGAGATCAAGTTAGTGAAAAAATAGAGGGAATAGGAAGTTTGGAGCTCTGAAATATTTTCAGGTAAATTAAGGAGTTAGGGTTATTTAAGATATTAATATCACTAATACCTGAATAAATTGATTGACTTTTTAGATCGAAAGAGTTTTTTTTACAGATTCTTTCATAACCCTTGTGTGGCTTTTTAGTTAAGTGTACATGAATTATTTGCTTCTAAAGCCTGAGTAGGATTGTTTTAGTTCTCTTTTTTTGGAGGAGGGTGTGGGGGATTGAATTCAGGGCACTCAACCACTCAGCCACATCTCAGCCCTATTTTGTATTTTATTTAGAAACAGGGTCTTACTGAGTTACTTAGTGCCTTGCTGTTGCTGAGGCTGGTTTTGAACTCTCATCATTCTGCCTCAGCCTCTCAGGCTGTTGGGATTATAGGAATGCACTACTGTGCCTGGCTTGTTTTAGTTATCTCTTAAAGATATGTTTTAAAAAAAAGTTTGTGGGGGCTGCTGTTGTAGCTCAGTGGTAGAGTGCTTGCCTGGCCTGTGTGAGGCACTGGGTTTGATCCTCAGCACCACATAAAAATAAATAAATATGTCCACCTACAACTGGAAAAAAGGTTTGTGGCTATATCGTAAGCAGTGTGAGGGCATAATCTGTTTGTACCATTATTAGTCCACTGATCCTTTTCCCCACTGTTCAGAGATTATCATGTTAGTGTTTAGTATTTCAAGTCCTTTTCCCTTCATGTATTAATATGTAGTAATTTTGTGTGTATATGTTTTTTAAATTTTTTTTTAGTTGATGGACATTTATTTAATTAATTTATAAGTGGTGCTGAGAATCAAACATAGTGCCTCACACATGCTGGGCAAGTGCTCTCCACTGAGCTATAACTCCAGCCCCTAGTGTGTAGAATTTAAAACATGTATACCATACATATTTTTATGCAACTTGTTTATTTTTTCCCACTTGTTAGATCAAAGCTGCAAGAAGTATACTTATTTCTTTTGAGTCATGTGCATGTTCTCTAAGGAAGATTCTGAAAGTAGGAATTGCTAAGTCAGTATATGCATATTAATTTTGAATGTTCATCAGTTTTTTCACATTCTTCCCAACACTACATATCATCAAATAGCTAATTTTTTCCTGATTTAATAATGTGTTTTATTAAAATATGTTCACCAATTCTTTGTTATATTTATTACGAAAACATTTTTTCAGTTTGTGTTTTCTATTATGTTAGTGCATTATAATTATACATAATAGTGGGGTTCATTGCAACATTTTCATACATGGATATAACATAATTTGCTCCATTTTATTTCCTTGGTACTTTCCCTTTTCCTCCTCCTTCCCCCATCCCTTTCTTCTACTCTAATGGTCCCTGTTCTATTTGTTTATTTTTCAATTAGTGTATTATACATAAAAGTGGAATTCATTATGATATAGTTATACATATACATAGCATAATTTGGTTGATTTAATTCCTCAGTACCTCTGGTTTTTCGTCTTCCTCCCTTCTCAGTTTTCATGTTTTTAAACCTTCCTTATGGTATATGTTTATTATGTTAACATTTTTAATGTAATGGGGAAAATTCATTTCAGTATTCCAAGAAATATAAATAATTATAAGAAATATATAAGACTTTATGGAAGGAAATTATAAAACAGTACCGTAGGGGATACAAGAAAACGTGAGTGAAAGGATATGCATGTGTATGAATGGAAAGGCAGTAATAATGTAAAAACATTAATTTTTTTTCTCCAGATTAATCTAAATTCAGTGAAACCTTGTGAGGAAGACTTACCTTCCCTTTGGCTCATCCACACAGTTCTGTGTCCTAGAGACCAACCTCTGTTCTTTTCTTGGGTATTTATCCAGAGATAGTGTTTATATATTTGTTTATCCATTGTTTTGTACCATGTTGTTTGAATTAAATTTGTATATGAGATTGTTCCATATTCTCT